ACTTAATCGATTCCTCGCGCCATTAGCGGGCGTCATAATTCAAAGCCAGCCATCCATCCAGCCACCCCCAACCCCAAACCCCAAGTCGAGCGCCGGCGACGGCGACAGCGACGGCGAACTGATTAGATATGCCTGAGCCGACTGCGGCTGTCATAACTATGGGCTGTTCAACTGACGGATGGCCGCGACTATAAATGCCATGAAAACAAAAATAAATAAATAAATAAAAATAAAATATATAAAAACAAACAACAACAGTGCAGCACCCCCAAAGCACCACTAACCAATTATAATGGCGAGTATTATGCGACACATCATCATCAGCATCATCATCATCGTGGTCATCATCATCATCATCATCATCAAAATGATCGCTATGTGAAACGTCAGACAGCGAAATTTCCATGTCACACAGCTGATGATATATGAACACATTTCGATGATATATGCGCTCAGATTCAGATTAATCAACCCCTCCACACTCGGTGATCTATGGAGAAAACGAAACAAGGTTAAGCATGGGCGGGCACATATATATATACATACATATATTATATAATATATGGAAGAGTCGAAATGTCAAAGTGTTTGCCTTAAATTTGAGCAAATTTCGCTGACCAAACCAAAGCAAAGAAAACAAATCGGATTCGATTTGAGCAACTTTTGACAACTGAACAGTTCAATCTAGTTAAAGGTTTTAAGGATCTGCAACTATGGAATGCATCTGCTAAGCAATAAATGGTGCTACATCTGACATTTAATTTATTTATTATTATTTTTCTTGCCCGATCCACTTTCTAGGTGCTTAATAACAAATGTTGTATGGATTGTCAAAGAAACTGTAGTTTAGCCAATCCTAAAGGGAGAGAGGAATTTGATGATCCCAATGGTATTCCAAGGCTTTATATTTATTGATCTTATGTATCTTATACAATATGATCTATCATTTATTAGGCTCACTAAGATCATGAAAATGTCCTTCGATTTCTTAGAACTGGAATACTAATTGTAGCCTACCCACTTACCGTCGTTGACTTTTACTAATAGGTCTTCCATCACTTGCTGATAGAATAATCATGCCTGGTGTAATCTTCTTATACAAACAGGTAAATAAACAAATAAATAAATAAAGTCAATTATTATTCCCCATGAAAAATGTTCAAATTTTATCAGTTATAATACTTTTTGACACAAAATAAAAAAAATAGTTTAGAAATATTTTGATATTTGCAACTTATAATCAACTAACCAAAAATCAAGAATAAATTCCAAAATCGTGTTTCAAAGGTAAACAAGTCGACGAAAACAAACAAAGAAAACTTAAATCTAGTCTTGATTTGAGATTGTAGATCTTCATTGGATACGAAATAATTGTTAAAACCAAAGTTATTCGATGGACTTGTCAGAGTATATCAGATTCGGCTTCTTTGCTGACAGTTTATCAGTGATTTGCTGTTTATTTTTTTTTTTACAATTTGGTTTTATTTGGCTTGTTGCTGTAAAGTTTTATGATTTTGGGGCCCCGGGCTAGTCAGACCCAAGATTTGCCATTATTAATGACCGCGACTCGAGACCGTATTTCATAAGTCAAAATGGTGACGCCAGTGACGTCACAGCGCTCGCTGCCTTGACGCCCACACACACACACACACAGACAGATACACACACACAGACAGACACACACAGACACACACACACAGACAGACACACACAGACAGACACACAAAAATAGAGGCGAGCAATCTTTATCTAAAGTAATCAAAAGTCTGAATGGCTCGACGAAACCCACGTCACAATCTCGAGAGGCAGTCAGCAAGACAGTCAGACAGACAGACAGTCAGACAGGCAGTCAGACAGGCAGTCAGACAGTCAGACAGACAGGCAGTCAGACAGGCAGTCAGACAGACAGACAGACAGACAGACAGACAGGCGGACAGCATCTCCAAAATGGAATGCAAAAATATGGTTAGCCAAACAAATGCTGCCCGTTTCACTAGCTCAACCACCCCCTCTCTCTCTCTCTCTATCTATATCTCGCTCGCTCTCTCTCTCTCACTCTCTCCCTCTCTCTCTCACTCTCTCTCTCTATCTCTCTCTCTCACTCTTTCTCTGTCCAACATTGTGTCGGGAAATGTGAGTGCAAAGTGTGGCAGTCATATAAGATATTCATAGGACAATAAAATGAGCTCAGAATGAACGAAAAGAAAGTAGATATCACCACAGAATCATATGACCCTTCCTTCAAGCATGTCAAGAAAATAAATACACATCAGATGATAGGATGATACACAGATTTGGTACAATTCCATGGTACTTGTACATACATATATCATTTTGACAGAATTTCTGGAAAAACAAAAACCGCATTTCGTTCTCGGGGAAAAGTGCAAAACTCGTATCTAATCGGAATGAAAACAGCCTTCAGCAAATGCAAAAATAGATCCGTTCATATCGAAAGCGGCTCAGTTTAATTGTTAAACCATATCGTATTATTATTATAAAAATAACAATGACGTATATATAATATATATATATAAGCCCATGTGTATATATTATAAATCTGACTATAATATAAGACTTAAGCAAGATTTGAATGCCTTCTTCGAATGAGAGCAGCAGAATAAAGATAAATAAAAAGAAATGGTGATTTACAACACTGGCTTGTGCCGATGATAAGCACGAGTTTGAGTTAGAGTACATTCATGGATACACTCATCAACATTGAGAGACATGTTTCACAATCTATAATCATAAGGCGAAGAAGAATTTCACATTAATTGCCTTGAGTTATTTGGAGGATAATCACAAACTTCAACTGGAAAAAGTCAGAATTAAGAATTCAGACTTCAGAGAAACGATAAGTTGAAACTGAGAGGCCACAAAACAATTAATCAACAAATAATTCAATTTTCTACCAGTAGGAAGGGAATTGCAATCGAAACACAAGAAAATAATATAATTTGAATTATGACTTATGTTGAGCTGTGAAGGTCTAGAACTATATTACATATATTACTCGGATAGCATTTGTACTCCGGTATCCAAACCTAACAATTCACTTGAGACCTGCAACCTTTTGAATATTGAAAACGCCGCGAATTCGAAGAATTGCTTTAAGAACAAAGACTATATTAATAGTTCAAGAATTATTTGCACTTACTTCTGCAAGAGCGAATTGCCAATCCCAATCCCAAATTCGTGAGCAATATGCAATTTGGCAATTGTTGCGTGGGCACGTACGCAGTCTGAGATATCTTTACGGATGTTTGTATATATTTCCAAATGAGCTTAGTTCAAAACTTAATATGACAATACTGGACTAGTAGAAATCTATCGGGACGCTTGCTATCTAAGGGTATATATAGATATATATGCATATGTGCGCAGTCATGTGTGAGGCACGCAGAGAACGCTCGACCCTCATCAGCGGAGGCACATAAAAAAGGCCACAGATATAGATAAACTTATATAGATAATAATAGAGTAAAGCCCAGATAAGCGCAAAATACTATATATATACATAGATAGTGTGTATATATATATATATATATATATATATATATAGACCTTTAAACGCATGCGCATAGTTTGTTCAATATTTATATTATGATTTTATTACATATATTAGTTTGTATATCCAAATATTTATTTACTTAACAAATTTCTATAATTTTTGTTGTTGCTGTTGTTGTTGTTTTGCCTGCTGTCTGTATTGTTGAATATATATATATATTTTAATATATATAAAAGTATGGGGAAAAATATATGTAGGTATGTGTATATATATATATATCTATAATACTACAATATACAGAGTTAAACACTAAGATAAGCGTCCGTCGTTGCTGGTGTGCGTATGTATGTGTGTGTGTGTGTGTGTGTGTGTGTGTGTGTGTGTGTGATAGCACAACTCTAAATATATACATATATATATTTGAAGTCTGGGCCACAAAAGTTTTTTTATCAGCGCACCCGCTTTCAACATCATCATTTGTCGGCGGAAAGTCATAAGATACAAAAAAAAAAAAAAGAAAAACAAAAAACAAAAACAAAAAGAAAAAATACTGAAAATAAAAAACCGCTTGTACTAGTACGTTCCGCGGCAATGGAATCTCATACGGCGATAAGATAAGCGCCAAATTAATTACCCGCACACACTTGTTCCCCCCCAGCACATTCCACGCCACTCCTCACCCCAGCCCTCTCTAACTCTAATATCTCTCTCTCTCTCTCGCTCTCGCTCTCTATCTATCTCTCTCTTTCTCTCTATACTATTTAGAAAATTTATCATATACAAAAAAAAAAAGAAAAAAAAATTACCTCTACATAATGCGGCCAGTAGGAAATTAAATCTTGCAAATCAATTTTAATTGCCGGAAACTTTAATTTTTGCAAAGATAAACAAGACTTTTTTTTAGTTGTTTTTTTGTTTTTTTTTTTAGTTTTGCCAAAGTCTTCGAAATATCCAATATTAAATTCAATTCAATTCAATTTATAATTGCCTTAGCACTAATGTAATTTTTTGATAAGAATTCTCGATGACTATCTTCGTGACTACTTAGAAATTAGGATTATTTGGAAATGGCAATTAGTGAGCAACCACTTTAAATATATATATATATATAATTATATATATATATATACATGTATATATGTGTGTATATGCACATATGTATATGTATGTGTGTGTGTGTATAGTAGTAGACTATAATAAGAATACAAAAGTTAAACAACAACTGAAAATATTACACAGATCACACACACAAGCCAACCAACCAACCCCCCAACCCCCCTCCCCCTGCCACCCTCTCTCTCTCTGTCTGTCTGTCTCTCTCTCTCTCTCTCTCTCTCTCTCTCTCTCTCTCTGTCTGGCTGACCAGTAGCTAGCCACTTGCTAAAAAGTGTGTGTCTTTTATCTTAATTGAGATTTCCTATATATTTGTGACGCTGCCGTCGCCGTCGTTGCTGCTGCAGCGCTGCCTGCGGCTGCTGCTGCCTACCTTCTTAGAGACATCGCCAAGCTGTGTGCCAGCCAAAAGCTCGCTCAGCTCGCGTTCCCCTTCCAATTCCAGTTCCTGTTCCTGTTGCTGCTGCTGTTGTTGTTGCTGCTGCTGTTGCTGTTGCTGCTGCTGATGTTGCTGCTGCTGTTGTTGTTGTTGTTGGTCCTGGTCGTGCTCGTGCTCGTGCTCGTGCTCCTCGTGCACTTCCAATTCGCCATCGTCACTGCTGCTGCGACTCGATTTGCGGGCAAGTGCAACGCGTATCCCGTTAACGATGCACTCGCCACCATCGAGTGCTGATATCGTTGAGCCACAATAATATAGATTGCTGCAACTGCTCGCGGCACTCACATCCGACTGGCCGCCATCATCCCGGCCAGCGACGCCAGCGACATTGGCAGCGCTCGCCTCCAGCGAACAGCGACGCTGGCAGCGTGCACGCTGCAAGCGAAAATATTCCATTTCCTCCATGCTAATGCCACATGCAGTTATATCATCCGAATAGTCGGAGACAACCACCGATGGCGTTCGCACATAACGCACCCCCGCCAATCCGCCCAGCTCACTGATGCAGCTTTGCGTCGACTCGCGTCGCGAGCCCGATGGCGCTGACAGTGCCGCCGCCACCACTCGCTCCTCCAGCAGCACTTTGGTCGGCACACCGACAACACCACCGGCAGCAACACCAGCCGTGCCCAGACCCATGGCATGGGCGCTGGTTGGTGATGTCAGCGGTGAGTCGGGCAGCGCTGTTGGTTCGGCTAGCGGTAATAGGGCTGGCCGCAACGGTAAATCGGTAACGGTTAGCGTCATGCGTCGCTGCGGCGTCGGCGCCATCACTTCCATATTCACATCATCCGCTTCAACTTCCAGTCCCAGTGCCGAATCGCTGCTCGCACAGCGCGTCACTTTCGGTTTGCGGCGTGCAACGGCCGCATTGATGTCACATTCATTGTCGCTGCTGCACGGACTCAAACCGCCCGCATTGCAGCCCTCATCTGAATTGGCAGCACTATTTGCTAATAACGTTGCCGGTTTCAGCTGCACCTGCGTCTGCGCCGGCGCCGGCGATGGCGTCTCTGTTGGCTGCTGCACAATCATTGCCTGATATTTTTTGATCAGCTGGCTTATGTGCTCTGCGCTATTGACAGCTTTATCACGCTCTCTCACCGGCTGCTGTTGCTGTTGTTGCTGCTGCTGCTGTTGTTGCTGCTGTTGTTGCTGCTGTTGTTGCTGCTGCTGTTGTTGCTGCTGCTGTTGTTGCTGCTGTTGTTGTTGCTGCTGTTGTTGTTGTGCTGTGAAAGCGTGCAAATCCTTGAAGAAAGCTGCGCGCAGTTGCGCCTTGTGCTGAGAGAGTCGAGACGACGCTGTTGCTGTTGTTGTTGTTGTTGCTGTGGTTGTTGCTCTCTCTTTTGCTATAAATGCTGCTGCTCCTTCTTCTTCTTCTTCTTGGAAGTCTGTTGGTGCTGCTGCTGCTGCTGCTGTCTGTTCGAGGCGTGCGCAACGCTCTAGTGCTCTCTGATAACTAAAAGTCGTTGGCGCTGCCGTCGCGCATTTATTTTGAGCGTTAACCGTTGTCGCTGTTTCTGTCGCTGTTGCTGTCGCTGTCGCTGTCGCTGTCGCTGACGCCGGCATCGCTGTCATTATCTTGAGCATGGTATCGGTTTTGGTTTGAGTTTTGGTTTTGGTTTTGGTTTCGGTTTCGGTTTCTGTTTCGGATTCGGTTCTGTTAGCGATTTCAGTTTTGTACGCGGCATTTTGTACACCGTCGCGGCGCGCACTCATCGCACTAAGCGTATTATGTGTATGTGTGTGTGTTGCTGTGTATGTGTGTGTGTGTGTGTGTTGCTGTGTGTGTGTGTGTGCGTGTGTGTTTCTGTGTGTGTGTACAGCGTTTACAGCGTTGCGTCGGCGTTGGCGTCTGCGTTTCATGCGTTTTAAACTTGGTTTTTTGCGATTTTTACGCGTCCGCGCACTTCAAATTCAAATGACACCTGCCGCTGCCGTCGCTAAACTGTCGCTCTGACTATAAAACTTGGTATCCAACTGCGACGGCGACGTCAACTGCGACAGCGGCAGCGTGACGCTGCTGACGACGACGGCGGCTGCGAATGATGTTGCTGCTGCTGGCTGCTGCTGGCTGCTGCTGCTGGCTGCTGCTGCTGGCTGCTGCTGCTGCTGCTGTTGCTGCAGTTTAAAGGTGGTTCTGCTGCTGCTGCTGCTGCTGTTGCCGGTGTTTAATCCGTTGTATTGAATTTTCGTAATTGCTGCTCATTGCCCGCTTACCGCGACCAGCTCCGCTATAAAGTGGCAATTTTTTTTTATTATTTTTTTTTTATGCTGCGATTGCGGCTGCAACTCCAATTGGAATTGGAATTGAGTGTGATCTTGAAACGTTGACGCAATGTGCAATGATCCCGCATGTACACACACACGTACACACACACACACACACACAGACACTCGCACACACACTCGCTTATTGCTGCTTATTTATTTATTTATACTCGTATTTCGTTTTTGTTGTTGCGCTCCAATTGCTTTGCTAGTTTTCTTAACTTGAGCGCGTAATTGCATTTAAGCACAAAAACACACACACACACACAGACACACACACATGCATAGACTTGTGTACATGCACAGCGACTGACAGACTGACAGACGTCGTGCTCATACATAAATATATATGTATATATATATATTTTTCTGTATATATATATATACAACAAAAAAAAACATGCTGACGCACAGTGGGCCACAATTGTGATTCACAGTGCATCGCAGAATTGAGCTGCATCGGCATCGACTCGTTAAATTTGGCTTTTTACGTTTTCCCGAATGACGTTTATTTGTATTTTTTTTAATAATATCACACATTGAAATGAATTGCAACAAAAAACAAAAAAAAAAAACAAGAAAAGAAAAGAAAAAATTTGCTAGTTTTAATATGTTAATTATTCGTCTGTTTCTCTAAATAGATACAAAGAGATACAAAATTAACACTTGACTTTCACATGGCTAAATATAACTGCTGTAAATTGCTATTTTCGTACAAGTCGCAATAATATAAATAATTACAGTAGCTAATTAACAGAGTATACATCTGTCTAGATATTCTATGGAACAGGCACAGGGTATTCGCATGGATATCAAATAACTTTTCCAATAGTTAAGTACGTCATTCCAACTAATCGCAACTATATATTAAACCATAAAAAAAATGCAATTTTTCAGATAAGATCTTTAAATTTCTAGAATGTGTAAGTGCACATATTATATATAATATATATATGTAACAGGCTTGGTGATTAATAACGCTCTGCAAGAAAATACATATGTATTACAAACTATTCCCTCGAATCGGATCGAGTCGCGAACGATGACGAAGTATAAATCATCCATGGAATACATACAGATGCCGATATGATGGTAGCCTGTTCTGTTAATAAGCAAATCATCCGCTCATCCGGTATAAATGTGCAGGCTTATGTTATCAGTGACCGGTATATAATATGTGCATTTATATATATATATATATAAACATATATATATCTGTGGCCCTGATGAAGGATGTGTCATTTAAATACATACACATCTGGACATTAAAATATGTGTGAAGACAATAACATTAACAATAACAATACAATCATGACTAGAATACAACATATTATTTTGTAAAACTTTAGTTTCTCTATTGATTTTCTTTGCAAAATGTATGCTTTGAATATATCCACTATGATCAAGTCTTAACAGATCTAACGAATAATATTAAATGGACATCAAGGACATCAGTCGAGGACTGAGGATAGAAGATAAAGCATAAGATCTTAGATCAGGGAAGAACTAAACAATTGCATAGCCACATCAATTGGACGGTATCCAAAATTCTTAACAAATGCCTCCAAGTTAGAAAGCGCAGAGGATTAAAAAGAATTTCAACCGGAAATCGCATGGTGTTATGGGCCTAAAGGTGATTTCCCTGAGTCATCCATCAAACGAAATTGCTAAATTAAATTAGCTAAAAAGAATACCCATTAAAATTTCATTTGTTCGAACAGCAAATTTGAAGATGGGGGAAAAAACGTTGCATTCTTATTGGAATGGCCAGGTGTGTATGCATGTGGTTAGTTGCAAGTGCGGAATTCAGCAATGAATCAACAAGCCGCTTAAAAGCGTGTTGGCAATTTGTCATGCTCCTCATTTCAAATGGCTCCAAATGATGAGCAGCAGCATTGCCAATGGCCAATCGGCGAGTTGACAATGATCGATAGCAGCCAGTTAATGGACAGGTAATGTCAGCTCAATATCAATATCGATAGCCAGCCTACAGCTACAGTAGTCGAGCGAGCGACGAAAATGGCAACTGCCACAAATTGCAATCTGGACTCAAAATTTAGTTTTCAAAGAGATTTGCAATGTGCCTGTTTGAAGTTGTTGAAGTTCTTTCTCCCATAAATACTTTATTATTTATTTCTTTAAAAATTGATATTTAAAAAACAATGATAAGAAGCGTTCCCAATATCGAGCGACCCCTGTACAATTTACGATCGGTGGCCCATGGTGCGAAATCGCACTTTGTTCACGCCGCGCTGTGGCTGTGTGTGACGTCAGTCGTCGACGGTTGACCGACGTCGACAGCATGACGCGCGCATGAAGATTGTCAGACGCAGACGCAACCGCCAACGAACACAGGTACAAAATAAAATTAAAAAACAACAACAACAACAACATCGAGATAGAGTGGAAGAGGAAGAGAGAGACAAGGGCGCACCTACATCTGTACATGTCTGTACATGCACACTAACGATCAGTCATGCAACAAGCTGTGGGCGGCGTCGGCGTTGTCGCTGGCAGTGAAATTGCCGCCCCATCAAGCGGCATAAATAACAAATCACAATTAAAATTACAGCAACAGCAACAACAAACTAAGTGCAATTCTCTTCTCTTGTTATTGTTGTTGTTTTTTTTTTGACAGTCAAGTCAGTGACGCTAACGCTACTGCTGACGCTGATACGACGTTAAGCTGTTGATTCCCCGCCGACCCGTTGTCTACTCGGCGAAATCGAAACCACTTTGGGCTACACACCTGCGATAGACTGTAAGTATCTTAGTGTTGTTGTTGTTGCTGTGTATGTGTTTGTGTGTGTGTGTGTGTGTGTGTGTGTGTAGTGTGCGAATTACATTACGTCAATGCAATTGACGAAATGGCAAGCATTAAACAAACTGAAGGATAATCATCGTTCTCTCTCTCTCTCTTTCGCTCTCTCTCTCGTTCTCACATGCCCATGTCTCAGTTAATTTATTTTCTCTTATATTATTGCTTGTCGTTGCAGTTACTTGCAGCAACTGGCACAGTGACCGAAATCATCAACTGGTTCCAGTCAACTTTCAATTAAAAGCTTTTGCCGCGCCATCAAATTAAATGGTTGTTAGTGTGAATAGGGATGCAATTCATTTCACACATTTAAAAGCCGAAGCTTTATGCAATCTGTGTGTTGGCACACGAAAATGGCAAAAGCAAGCGATTGATGCGAATACGCACGCGCGCATTGTGCGATCGCTGTTTTGGGTATACATACACACATCTACATACATATATGTATGTATATTATTTCGAGGGCTGCGCACACCACAACCACTCACTTGTGAGCAAATTATGGAATGCGGTTTGTGTGTGTGTGTGTGCGTGTGTGATTTTTGTTTTTGACAGCACATTAATTTATTGTTAAATCGTTTTGCGGTTTGTGCGGCCAAAATGTTTTGCAAGTGTATTGCCAGCCCTGGTTGTTTCATTCATTGCATTTTCCCATGTGCGCTGACACTGATCAATTGCAAACACTTTAATGCATATCACTGTGTGTGTGTATGCTTGCATGTGTGTGTATGTGTGGATTGTTTGGATTTTAGCAGCTGTTTGAAACACATGCAAATTACATTTTCAACTCTTTTAACTGTTTTAGCCTTTCGGCCCGCAGATCTTTTTCCGTTCTTTTTTGCGTTTTCTTCGTTTTGTTGTTTTTTTTTTTCGTAACGGTCGCGTCGTTGCGACGGCGATGGCAACACGTTTGTTGACGCGGTCGACGACGACTGAGTGGACAAGAGAACGCGACGGACGACGACGCTGGCAGCGCTTGTTTCGCGTTTCACTGTGCACAAGCAACTGTTTTCTTTATATCTTTTTAATTCATTATTTTTGTTTTTGGATTTCAGATTTCAGACTGAGACTGACTGAAATTCTCACACATCGTTTACGGCATGTAGCTGGCTGAATGGGAGGCTTGCCCGCTGTTTAAAGCTGCTCGAAGCTCCTCAGCTGAGCTCGAAGTTGAGCCGCAGCTACTTAATAATCTAGGCTGGCTTTATTGTTAACACACACACACACATACATACACTACATATACGAAAGTATAGTATATATGTATGTATATCTTTATTATATGCATATGTGTGTATGTAGTTCTCTCAACAGCAACAATAAAACATATTGTTTATTTTGGGCGCGCATTTCGTCTAGTTAAATATTAGCATTAATTCATTGACTGCACACTTCGCTCTCACCTGTCAATTGTTTATCGAGAAGTTGCCAGTTCCTCATTTATTTGTTTGCTTTTAAGCAATTCTTCTTTTTTATTTTATTATTTGTTTGTTATTTGCTAGCAGCCGGCTAAATTTATGTTTATGTGAAATTTGCTGATTCAATAATGTGTTCGTCACTAATTTTTTTCATTCGCACGTTTTCGCCGGCTCGTGTCAAAGATAGCGGGCACTTTAGCATTGTTTTCCCATCTGCCCGTTAGTTAATTATACAGTTAATTCAGCTGATAAATGGTTTTGAATCTCATGAAAGCTGTATTCAAATCCATTACTCGTCTAACGCTTGCATGCGAAGAATTGCCACCTTTTAGGCGTTGCCAACTTATATTTATTCTCATTTGAACTTTTTGTCCAATTTTCAATTTTGTCTTTTCATTCTTAATACAACATCACGCTTTGCCTTTGCTCTACAGTGTTTCACATATTTTCGGGTATTTTCATTTATTCATATTTAATCTCGTTCTTATTCATAAAATGAAGCTTCAGGGTTTAAAACAAAAAAGAGTTAATAGTTTACCCTCAGCGCTCTTTTAAATTTCGATTCAAATTGGTGATAATTTTGGAATAGCATACTTTAAGGATTAAATATAAATCAATGAGAATAGTTTGGTTTGCGATTACACTGAACAAAAATCGGAGCAATCAGCAATGAGAAATCGGTTAGCTTAAACAAATGTTACTTTTATTTTGCATCAAAACACAACTTGAAAAATGTACATTCAGCATTAAAAGTTAGAGTTATGAATTATAAAATATAGCCATTCTGCTGCTGTTGTCTGTATATGTATTGGGTGTGTGTGTGTATGTGTGTGTGTATGTGTGTGTGTGTATGTGTGTGTGTGTATGTGTGTGTGTGTTTATGTGTGTGTATATGTGTGTGTATATGTGTGTGTGTGTTGGGTGTCTGTTTAAACCTGAGTTAAATATTTGTAGTCTGATTGGAAGTTAATAATAATGAATTCGTGGAGTTGGGTAAGGGTGGTACGGAGGCGGGAAAGGGTGGGGTGGGCTGATGTGGGTTGGGGGGAAGGAGAGAGGATGGAAAAAAAAGGAAAAAGCAACTGCAAACATTGCTCAGAGTTTGCTACAAATGTAACTGTGCATCAGCCAATTCACCGATAGCGCCGCTCCCGTTCTCTTTCTCGCTCTTTATCCCGCTCTCGCTCTTTATCCCGCTCATCATAGTGATCGTTGTGGCGATGCCTGTCGCTGCGCTCCTCGCGCTTGCTGCGCTCGCTGTGACGCTGACGGCCGCGGCTGGCACTGCGACTGCTGCGATGACTGCGACTGCGGCTGGCGCTGCGGCTGCGACTGTGGGAGCTCTGCCTGTGCTTGTGCTTCTTCTTGTGCTTGCTGCTGCGTCGCCGCTCGCCGTGATCCCGCTGCTCTCCATGGTCCCTGTCGCGCTCGGTGCTGGCGTATGGCATGCTCATGGCAGCCGGTGGGTAATCGTCGTAGCCGCGACTGCGCCCGTAGGATGAGCCCGACGCATGTCCTCCTCCTCCTCCTCCTCCTCCTCCATAATAATAGTCGCGATCATCGTGATCATTGCGATAGTTGGCTGGCGGATAACCGCCGCTGGCACCACCGGCGCGTGCCAAACTGCGAGCGCTGCCACCGCTGACATACTCGTACTCGTCGCAGCTGGTGCCAACGGATACGGTTGCTGTCGCTGGCGCCGTTGTCGTTGCAACGGGACCCCGACCCGTGCTCAGCTGATTGATTGTGATGCTCTGGTCGCGACAATATTGCTCAATTTTCTTCTCGATCTGCTTCTGGATGGGCACCGGTATACGTGGAAATAGTGTGGAGAACCAGTCCAGTTTCGTCATAAACTGGTAAACCATTTGGCCAATGGTCACCACCTGAACGGCAATAAGAAAGTAAAAAAAGATATTTATATGTGTAAATGTGACCGCCGTTAATAGTCATAATTCGAGTGCTGCGTAGATTGTTGTGCATATTGATTGGTGGCTCATACAGTTGACTCACCTGGCCGCCGCCCGCTTTCACATCAATCTCCTCCTCGTCCTGCAGATAGTCCTCATACCAATCATACAAATCTCCCGGCGGCTGTGTATAGCGTAAGTACATAAAACCTAAGCCAAAACAGAAAAAGTTGATTCAAACCAAACAAAACAAAACAAGCGACAATTAAGTACAAATTAGCAATGATATGACAAACAGTTGTAGGACTAGTACGCAGCTAAGCCAAAAGTGCTTAAGCAAAACTCTTTGTGCATTTTGTCGTAGAGTTGGAGTTTTATCTCTGAACCCAAAGCGTTACACTTTTCTTTGCACTTCAAAACATGCGCCCCTAGAAGGCTGCTTCTTCTTCTAGCTAAGGCGACACACTCTGCTAGGATGTGTATCGAGGATTCCTCCTCTCTTTCACAAAACCCGCACAGGTCACAGTGTCCTGTCAATAGACCGGTGAGTATCCTAAGGCTGTTCTTTCCCATGGTTATAATTTGTTTAAATCGTACAAGATTATAACCACCTAGGAGACATCTGGCTTGTCGGAGTCCCACTGCTTCCGACCAGCTCTGATGCCGTCTTTGCCTCTCCTCGTTTCTAAGTTCCAGTCGTATAGTGTGTCTCCCTATGCCACAATACGGTTCTGGTCCTGTTAGGGGCCTTCCTGCCCCCATTCTTGCTTGCTTGTCAGCCGCCTCGTTTCCCGCTGTGTCCCGGGACACATCGTAGGGTGAGCCTGTTATGAGTCCCGAGTAGGTCTAGCTTTGAACGAACTTCATGGACTACCTTCGATGTTATCTTAGTCCCCATTATAGCTTTCAATGCTGCTTGACTATCGGATAGGATGGATATTCGTATTCCGATAGTTACGTTCTATATTGAAGTCCGCACATCTCCCTATCGCACACACCTCAGCCTGAAATATGCTGGTGTGCGTTCCCAGGGATTCATGGTAGAATAACCGAGGACCCACCACTCCAAGGCCTGTACCCTGATTCGTGAGTGATCCATCGGTGTACCATTTTATGGTGTGCGGTTTCATGGGATGGACTTACGAACTGTGAAATTGCGCTCGAATATGTATTCGGCTACCATTTCGTCCCTAGGTTGCATCAGCAGGGGCAGTTCGTTTGAAAGGAGTTGGGCATCTTTGTGGCTTAGGATATGATTGCCCCCAACTCCTTCTGCTGATATCCTTAGAAGCGTGTCTTTATGCTTGAGCCTTATGATATGGTGGAGTGGTGTGAGCTCCATTAAGGCTTCAAGGGCCATTGTAGGGCAGGTGCGCATAGCTCCTGTCATACATACGCAGGCCATCCTTTGCAACTTTTGTAGTTGCTTCTTCACGGTGACCAACCGCGCCCTGTCACCCCATGCTACCACCCCATAGGTTAACATGGGCCTTACTACCATCCATAAAAGACTATAGAAACCGTGATATATAAAAAGAGAACAGTCAAGAATAAAATTACAACAAAAAAACACGCACAAACACCATTTCAAGCTTCTGTTTGATGTAGTTGCCAAGCAACCACAATATCAGACAGTTCTATTCTTTTTGCACGCTTTTCATCTGCTTGTTGAATGAGTTTCCAAAACGATAAATATTTTGAATAGGAAATTATATTTTCCTAGAGCTCAATCACAAATGGGGCGTACTAGCCTACACTCGAGTGAAAAACAAATTCAGAAGAAAAAAAAAAAACAGAACAGAAAACGCGGGAGGAGCAGGAGCAAGCTATGAGTGAAAACACGGCTGAACTCATGCGACTTACCAACACCTACCTAGTGCCCGTATGTAGGCCGAGTCAGTGTGATTGAGTAGACCATTCACTTGCTTGCGGGTCAGTCGCAGCGTGTACAGTTTGTAGAGCAGACAATAGGCGGTGGACACGATGCCGCCGGCGCCAACGCCACGTACCTGTAATAATGGGATTTGGATTAGCAAAACGGGATGCTCTGTTATCCAACTGTCGAGAGGACAATCGCCAACGATTAGCGCTACATTTCATAAACTCACTCCGCCGCACATGCCCGTCTGGCCGGATGTTTTGCGTGATCCCCGCTCCCAGGGCTCCATGTGTTTGACCTGGTAGTAGATCTCGTCGACCACCTCGTGATACGTTTTCAGTTTGAATAGGTGTACTGTTTGTGTGTAGGAGTTTTTTGTTGTTTTTTTAACAAACGTTTATAAGAAAATTTGGCGGCAAAAACTTTGTAGCGAGGGTTACCTTTGAAGTAGCTGGAACTTTGTATGTTTGCCAATATGAGTGGATTCAGATTCATAGACGTCTCATTGCCCCACAACGGTAACGTATTGTGCTGCTTGCCCATGCCGGCCTTCTTACCGCCGCCACCGCCACCGGCCGAAGATGCGGCCGAGTATTCTGTTAGCGTTAGCGGAACACCAACGCCGCGAAAATGAGAGAGCGCGCGTGAGAGAGGGAGGCGAAACGAACGATATAGTTTTAGTACACAAAATATTGAATATTACAGGTATGCCCGATGATGGGGCGCACACTACCTTACCTTCGTCCATGGCTCCGCTTCAGAATTTACTATTTATTTGGTGCATTAATTTTGCAGCTCGATGTGAGTTTGGACCGAGCAGCCAATCTCGATTTGCAAACGTTTGCGTACTGTGAAAATGCCAATGTGTGTTGGTTACAAATTGGGGATGTGCAAAATGCAGCAATGCAAACCGATTTTCGAGTTGCCTCAGCAATTGTTTTAAGCGCGTCAAATAACGATAATACACGTTAGGGATTTGTTGCAGCGCAAAGTTCAATTTGACAATATTTTTAAATTTTAACACAATTGACATCTTAAATTGTTGTAAATCTGTTAAGATTATTTCGAAAATTATTCAGATTTTTAGTTTATTTGATGCGGCTAATATCGATAGACACATCTATGCACAGATGTTTGATGGTTTGCTGCGTAATGTCTACACGACAACTATCTGTCAACTATCGATTAATGAAAATTACAAGAGATAGACTGCGGCTATATTTTAAAATGCATTTTATGTACAATGTATAATATATAAAATGTATAAATATGAAATGGTTGAAATATTATAGATATACACACAGGCGCTGTTCGATTTATTTCAAATTTAGCACTTTGAACTTGACTCAACTTTTTGGTATAAGACCATTACATTGAAGTTTATATTACATAGCGTGGTATTGTGCAGCCGGTCCATCTACATATATATATAAATGTATATATATATATATATGTGTGTGTGTGAGAGTATAAATTACCTGTAAGCCCATAGATGCAACACCTAGTTAATTTTCAATGTCCAACTTGCACAGTTGTCGTTTCTTATCGACATTATTGATTTCGCGCCTTTTTTTCATAGCAAACTATCGATAGATGTGCGTGAGACATGGAGGTAATAAAGCTGTTGTCGATTATTTAGTATGTAAGTGCTATCGAACCAGCTCAGAGCTGAACTTATCAACTCTACAATATACGCAACGCAGCAGCAGAAGCAGACGCATAAGCAGAAGCAAAAACAGAAACAAGCATTCTCGGTTCGCGTTTTAATCAATTAAAAAGTCGGACAAGTGAGAAAAATGCAGCCGCTGGCTGCCAGCAGCAGCAGCCTTTGCCTATCAGCTGATACTGCATCTGCACTGTGTACACCAGTCGATGTGGATGCAACAGCAGCAGCAGTGGACGTGGGTGGTATCCAGTGTCAAGCCTGCAAATTCTGAACGCAAGCGCAAAACAAACACAAGCGAACAAAACGAAGAAGCAAAGCAAAAATAGCAGCAGCAGCAGAAGCAGAAGCAACAACAAAGTTCAGGGTCATGGTCAGCAGGCAGCTGTAAAATAGAGACAGTGAGAGCGAGAGTGAGAGAGAGAGAGAGTAGTTGAGTGAATTGTGCAAACTGGAAACTGCAAGTGGCGCAAGATGTCCAGCGAAGCATCAACGGAAAGTGACAGCGAATTGTACGATCCACTCGCCGATGAGCTGCACAATGTGCAGCTGGTGAAGCATGTGACGCGCGAAAGCATTGATGCCCTCAATGCTAAGTTTGCCAATCTGCAGGAGCCACCAGCCATGTACTTAACAGGTGGACACAATAATCCTTTCATCATCCATCTATTCCCTCAGCCACATTTAACATTTTGTTTTTTTCCTGCTTTTGTCATTTTGCACATATAGAATACCAGGAGCTGACATCGAAGCTGCATGAGTTGGAGGCCAAGGAGCACGAGTTGATGGAACAGCTGCACGCACAGCGTCCGCAGGAGGAGGAGGCACACAGGGACAGAAAGTTGGCTCAAAACCAGCAGCAGCAGCTTGTGGATCAGCCGCATTATCAAAATCAAACGCAAATCTTGCAACAGCAGCGACAATTGGCGCGACATGTACACGAGATGAGCGACAGTTTGGTGAGCAGCAGCACCATGGGCATTGGGGGCAGTGGAGGCGGTGGCGGTGGCTCCGGTACGGCCAGCCAATCCGGCACACTCACCCGCCAGCCAAAGGTGCTGCTCCGCGCCCATTTGCCCAATCAGCAGCGCACCTCCGTCGAGGTTGTGGCCGGTACACGATTGTGCGATGCACTGATGAAGGCGCTCACCCTGCGACAACTGGAGCCGTCCATGTGTGAGGTGAGCACAACGCCGCATAGTGGACGAAATATAATACCGTGGAACCGGGACATTGGCACCCTGCACGTCGAGGAGATCTATGTGCGGCTATTGGATCGATTCCCGTTGGGTCCGCACATAAAGCATCAGTTCATCCGCAAGACATTCTTTTCGCTGGTCTTCTGCGAGGGATGTCGCCATCTCCTCTTCCAGGGGTTCTATTGCAGCCAGTGCAATTTTCGATTCCATCAGCGCTGCGCCGGCCGTGTCCCGATGCTCTGTCAGCCCTTCTCCGTGGACAGCTACTACGAGTGTTTGCTATCATCGTATCCGGAGAACTCAGTCGGCCTGCCGGTGGGTCGCAGCAATGCGGTGCGTTTCAATGTGAGTAACAGTCGCAGATGCAGCAGCAGTGGAAGTAGCAGCAACACGACTACGACTACCACCAACGCCACCATCCACATCAGCAGCAGCTCTAAACCTTCTGCCAACCGACAGGGTCGACCGCCGCGCATCAGCCAGGACGATCGCTCCAATTCGGCGCCGAATGTCTGCATCAATAGCATACGACCCCTCACCACCGAGACGCAGCGCAGCCTCATTATGCAGGCACGGCCTCCATTGCCGGTGAGTATAATCAGCATCAAAATCAGCAGCATCTCGCCTCAGCAGATACACCCTGATCACGCCCAGCCTGAATATGACAATGTCTCAGTTGACGCTTGTATCCATTATCGATTTGTGATAAGTGCGGATTGACACAACTCCCAGTCAGCTAACCAATGAGTATCCATAGACAAAATGACTTATCTATGTAATTTTTTCCATTTTATTATGTTTCTTTGCCCTTTTTTCGTTTTACTTCTCCCCCTGCTCTCTCTTTCTCTCTCTCTCTCTCTCTCTCTCTCTCTCTCTCTCTTCCGTCTGCAGTATCCTTGTACGGATCACGCAAACTCAACGCAGTCATCGCCCACCAGCACACTGAAGCACAATCGTCCTCGCGCCCGCTCCGCCGATGAGAGCAACAAGAATCTGCTGTCGCGCGATGCCAAAAACTCCGAGGAGAACTGGGTAAGCCACCACCACAACATCCCCCATCATCAACAACAACAACTAAACGATCGTTTTGATGATTTGTAGAACATCCAAGCGGAGGAGATTTTAATTGGGCCACGCATCGGTTCGGGTTCATTTGGTACCGTTTATCGGGCCCATTGGCATGGACCCGTGGCCGTGAAAACGCTGAAAGTGAAAACGCCGAGTCCGGCACAGTTGCAGGCATTCAAGAACGAGGTGGCCATGCTAAAGAAGACGCGCCACTGCAACATTCTACTATTCATGGGCTGTGTGTCGAAGCCATCGCTGGCAATTGTCACCCAGTGGTGCGAGGGCAGCAGTCTCTACAAGCACGTCCATGTCAACGAGACGAAGTTCAAGCTCAACACGCTCATCGACATTGGACGCCAGGTGGCCCAGGGCATGGACTATCTGCATGCCAAGAACATTATACACAGGTCAGATCCAAATCGATCCATATCCATCCCCCCTGCCTACTCTTTTCACTAAATTGTTGCTAAGCTGTTTAAGTTTTAAATCCATTTGATTATCATCTGTGAATTTGGTCATCTGAACGGATAACTATGTTAGTATTTTATAACTTTATATTCACTTTCGATTCCATATCATTTCTGCTTCGAGCCAAAGAAGCCACAATCAAATCTTTCGTATTGGTTTTCTTTCCTACCAAAAATACCAAAAAGATTTTAAGCTGGAAAACATTTTTGCCCATCCTCAATTCCTTTCTTTTTATTTTGAAATATTCATTTGATATATTTCTTAATATTGTTTTGCAAAATATAAATATAAAATGAATAACATTCATCTGCAGGGATCTCAAGACGAACAACATTTTCCTGCACGAGGATCTGTCGGTGAAGATTGGCGATTTCGGTCTGGCCACGGCGAAGACGCGCTGGTCCGGCGAGAAGCAGGCCAATCAGCCGACGGGCAGCATTCTATGGATGGCACCGGAGGTGATACGCATGCAGGAGCACAATCCGTACTCGTTCCAATCGGATGTGTATGCTTTTGGCATTGTGATGTACGAGCTGCTGGCCGAGTGTCTGCCCTATCGCAACATTAGCAACAAGGATCAGATACTGTTTATGGTCGGTCGGGGTCTGCTGCGACCCGATATGACCCAGGTGCGTTCGGATGCGCCGCAGGCGCTCAAACGCCTATCCGAGGACTGCATCAAATACAATCCCAAGGAGCGGCCACTTTTCCGGCCGCTGTTGAATATGCTTGAGAATATGTTACGCACGCTGCCCAAAATCCATCGCAGCGCCAGCGAGCCAAATTTAACCCAATCCCAGCTGCAAAACGATGACTTCCTCTACATGTGCCCCAGTCCCAAAACGCCGGTCAACTACAACAATTTCCAATTTTACAACAGTGCTGGCAACATTTAAGGAATGTCGGAAAGAAGGACGAATAGGAGTAGGAGTAGGAGTAGGAGGAGGCTGTACCTGTACTTACTTACCCATTGATGGGAGGCATGCAAAAACAAAAAAAACGAAAGAAAAAACAATTGGATACTTTTCCATTTTGTTGTTTATTCAAATGGTCAAATTAAAAACCGAACAGCACACAGAGAGAGAGAGAGAGAGAGAGCATTGTCTCAATCAGAGCGAGATAGACTGGTTTGGTCTCGCTCTCGCTCTTGCGATCTGTTGTCGCTCCTGTTGCCTGTTCGGCTGTGTTTCCTGTCTTAGATCTGTCTGGACCTGAGCAACTTTAATGTGCATTTCTCTTATCATATATAGAAAATGAAAAGAAAAAGCAACTGAAACTATTACTGTAAACTAAAACCACAAGTGAAACGCGCATATGTACATACATTTAAATACACATATATATGTATATATATATATATATATACATATACGATACACACACACTCGACACACACATACGTTAGGCATCTACTAAAACTAGCTGATCGATAAATTACATTATAAACAAACCAATATACTACTTATTACTATAACAAATAATCATGTTTTTATTCGGAGAACAGCAAAAAAAAAGAATAGGAAGAAAAAATCAGCTTAAACATAACGACTGGCTATAGCCAGCACCTTGGTGTAGTCGGCGCCCTTCGCCAGCGTCTTCTCCTTCAGTATGGTGCGCAACACTGTCGGTATGGGCACGTGGATGCGTGTGCCCAATGGACTGCCATTGTCATCGATCAGGACCAGATTGTTGCTATCGAATTGGGGCTGTTTCAGTCGCTGCTTCTGCTTTAGTCCCACGAGGATGCCCTTCTTCATTTGGCCCTTAATCGCCACCAGCACCTTGTCACCGATGAGGCCCACACCCCGTTTATTATACACGTGTATGCAACGCGGCGGACGACCCTCGGCCATCGCACGCTTGCCGAGATCACTGTTATCCACCACACGCAGCCGGGCCAATTTCCGTATCTCACAGCATGCCGGCGTTGTGTGTAGCTGTTGATGCGAGATGCCGACAGCGGCAGCTACTGTCAGTGGGCTGGCGACGGAGCTGTGGGTGAGCAGTGCTCCAGCATTGCCAACTCGTTTGATGTTTCTCAACAGGATTTGAGACATTTGGTCGAAAGGCTTTTCGTCTCTTTACTGTTTGTTCAACACAACAGTTGGGAGTTATACAATACTTATCGATGTATCGCTGGATGTTCAATGCAACAGTGTCAATATCGAAACTGTACTGCGCAGCTATCGATAGAGGCTTTTAGGTTATCGATGGTTAATGGTGACGCCATAACAAAGTAGTTGCGCGCGCTTTATGAATTTCCATTAAAAAGTAGTATAATTTTGCTTTAATTGCAATATTGCAATACAATATTGTATCGATGCTGATCGACGAGGGTGCTGCAAAGCTGATCAAGGTTGATGTATTGGCTACATGAACCAACGTAAAAACACAGCATACTTTTAGGGTTGATGATAAGAAAGCCTGCAGAAATCCAGGAAATCCTTGATTGCTTAAAAATATATGTGAGTTCAATAATATTTGTGCTTTCGAGATCCTTTAGGATAGAGTTGAGTTATGGCTTCAAAACGGTTATAATTTTTGCAACTTGGCCTAGGGATATTGTGGCCAACTACACGCTAGGATTACGGCATTATCTACGAAGTCAAGACAGCTAAGAAAAACGTTCACAATCAGAAAATCCTCATTCGTTTGTTTTGCATTTTATTTATTAATGTATCAATACAATATAGCTAATTGCAGCGCACAATATATATATATATATATATATATATATATATATAAATTCATACATACATATATATATATATTGTGTGTGTGTGTGTGTTTTGTTTGTGTGTGTGTGTAAGTATTTATAATAATTTATCAGCATTTATCAGTTAACGCTTCAATTCGTTCGCTAATCGCTCGCTTTGCTTTTGTGATATTTTGTTGGTTTTAATGTTGTTTTTGTATTTGTATTTAAACATAAGATTAACTTGTTGATTTTCTTTATTGTTATTTTTTATTTATTTTTTTTTTGACACGACTAAGTAGACCAGTCCCATTGGTTAGAAAATTGGTTACTATAATTCACTATGACATACAAGATATATGATATATGGGCATATAACGTATATATGTATCAATTAGCGTTCCTTTCTTCGCTTTGTGCTTGTGTTTTTCTTCTTCTTTTTACGCTTTTTACGCTTTTAACGCTTTTTACGCTTTTTACGCATTTTACGCTTTTTACTCTTTTTGGGTTCTTGTTTCGACTGTGGACTAAAACAAAAAGTATTAAAAAAAAAGTCGCATTAAATTACATAGTTCATAACAAATATTAATAATAGTTTAAAAAAAATTGATATATAGATATATATATATGTATGTATATATTCATATATGTATGGATATGTTATGGTAAAGCGCGCCAAGCATTACAAATTGTTACTAAAAAAAATATATATATAAACAACTTCATGTACAACAACATTTTGCTTGCTTTGCATTTGTTAATTATTTACATTTATAAAAGAAATCATAAAATAAACAAAAATAATAATCATTAAAAATACAAATTCAGAGCAAAGGAACCAAAATAAAAAAAAAACAAAATTAAAAATTAAAAATTCAAATGAAACAAAAAAAAAACACATTTCTGTTTGTATAAAATAATATTTTTGTTTGTTTGTTTGTTTGTTTTTTTTTGTGCTTTTGCTTTGTGCATTTCGTTTCGGTTTCCATACTTCCATTAACATTAATCGCTCGCCAATTTGCTGATTTGTTTTTATTGTTTTTGTTGTTGTTGTTCGCGAACAGTTTCTATAATTTCTACAATTGTATTTGAACCTTTTTCTCTTTCTTCTTTTTTCTATAACTTTTTTTCTTCTGCCAATTGCAATTTGCGAGCGATTTGTTTAGTTGATGTTTTTTTTCTGTATTTATTTGTTGTTGCTCTCAATTCTCTTTTTAGGCTCGATTCAACTCGTCGCGCTTGAAGTTGCGTATCGCATCCAGGAGCTGGGAGCGGGGATCTGGTGAATTTGGCGTCCCATTCCCGTTGCGCATCTGCGGCTTTGCTTTCGCCAGCATTGCTGGCGGTGGTGCTGGCGGTGTGGGCGTGCTTGTTGCCGCCGACTTCAGGGCCACCTCATTGTTGTTGACTGTGGATCGCAGCTTAACCTGCAGCAATGGCGCTGTTGCTGCTTCCGTTTCCGTTTGCAGCTTTAGCTCCAGTTTGCTGCTTCTCATGATTGTTGGCTTTGTTGTTGCTGCTGCTTGTGTTGATGCTGTTGTTGCTGCTGTTGTTGCTGCTGCTGTTGTTGCTGCTCTTGTTGCTGCTGCTGTTGTTGCTGCTGCTGTTGTTGCTGCTGTTGTTGCTGCTGCTGTTGTTGCTGCTCTTGTTGCTGCTGCTGTTGTTGCTGCTCCTGTTGTTGCTGCTCTTGTTGCTGCTGCTGTTGTTGCTGCTGCTGTTGTTGCCGCTGCTGTTGTTGCTGCTGCTGTTGTTGTGCCATTGACTGAGACGCGCATGGTTAGCGCCTTCTCCTTCTCCTGCTGCTCCTTGGCCAGCATGCGCTCCTTGAAGCCCGTGCGCCTCAATGTATTCTGGCCAAAAGGTGCTGCTGGCATCTCTGCCGGCTGATGTGGCTGCTGCTGTCTCAGCTGCCTCTCCAGGGAGTTGCTGTTGCTGCTGCTGATGCTGATGCTGCCGATGCTGTTCGGCTGCATATGGATGCTGCTCGCTGGCATTGTATAACGATTACTTTTCGCTGGTCGCGGCAGCGTTGATGGTTTTAGCTGTTCGCGCAAGATTTGCGGTTCCTTTTGCTCCGTCTCCTTGAGCTGCTGTTGCTGCTGCTGCTGTTGCTGCTGATGCTCTTTTACCCAGTCGGGTTCGCGCTCCTGCTCCCTTTCCTGCTCCCTTTCCCGCTCCTGGCTGGCATCGCGCAGCGGCTTAACCGTTATGGGCACATGATAATCCTTTCGTGGTATGCCCATTCGCAGCATGGGCGAAGCCACCTCAATTGTTAGCTTGGCGGGCGGCGATGTTGTTGTTCTTGCTGGTACTGCTGCTGTTGTTGCAGCTGCTGTTGCTGTTGGTGCTCTCATTGTTGGTGTTGTGGCACCGCCATAGATGTAGTCACCCTCATTTTTGATGGCCACCTGCGACTTGGGTCGCTCGCTCCACGTGGCAAAGTTAATGCTCGGCGGTCCGGAGTAGCGATAGGTGGGCGGCAGCGGCTTGGATGACGGCGCCAATTCCACTGTAATTGGAGTTGGAGCTGCTACTGCTGCTGCTGCTGCTGCTGCTGCTGCTTCTTCTTCTACTGCTGCTGCGGAGCTATTGACTCTTGTTATGGTCTCCTTAACTGGGTTGTTGTTGTTGTTGTTGTTGATTCTCGTCGAGGATGGGATGAGACTAGAGAGAGGGGTTGACGATGTGGAAGTCGACTCGACTGTGATTACGGACTTGGACTCCACTTTGGTTGCCGGCTTGCCGGTAACGGGCCTAAGCACCACTTGGGATACGGTTGTGGTAATGGGTGTGGTCACAATTGTGTTTGCTTTTGGTTGGGATACCAGTGTGGAGACAGGCGTGTTGGGAGGTGTGGCCACAGTTGTGGTCGGCGTAATGCATACGGATGTAGCTACTGTGGCTGTGGACACAGCTGTATTCTCGTGTGTTGTAGATGGATGCGACACCACTGTGGTGGTCTCATCTGTCTGGGATCTGCTCTTTGGTTTCTGATGATGCTGCAGCAGTTGCTGCTCTGACTGTGAATCCGGACTGCCGGCGAGACTGTTCTTGCGTGAGTTGCTCAATATATTCTTGATCAGTTCCAAGCTCTGCAGCGATGGCGATTCGGCGATGCTTAGCTCACTGGAAGAGCGGCGCTGCTGGTGCTGCTGCTGTTGTTGCTGTTGCTGCTGCTGCTGCAGATTTCCATCGAGCTTGTTGAGCGAGATCTGCGAGGAGCTGCGCAAACGAAGGCTCAAGTTTTGGCGCTTTGGCTGCGACTGAAAGGAGTCGGCGCGTTGTATCGATGGTGAGCAATTGCTGCTGCTGCTGATCGAGCTGGAGCTGGAGCTAGAGCTGGAGCTGTTCTTGCTTTTGGTTGGGGCATTAGTGCCGTGTCCATTACTGATTGTCGCAATGCTAAAGTTGGCCAATCGATTCGGTTTGGCTGCCTCGATTTGCGGTTGTTCCGGCGCCTGGCGGATAAGCGTGTCCAGGCGCTGTTGCTGTATAATGGACGACAGCTCATCGACAATCTCGCCCAGTGGCGAACCAGCTTGGCTCTTGGCGCATTGCATGCCATCGGAGAAATCGGGCGGCGGCGATATGGCACCAGCATAATTCCACGATGAGAGCGATGTCAGTTCGCTGGCACTGCCCGGTGTGGATGCCATCATTGGTGCATCATTTGTTGGGGATTGTGGCTCCTCCTCCTCGTTCTCCTCGTTCTCCACTTCCAGCTGACGCAGCTCGGCGAGCGTTGTCGCTGTCAGCTTGTGTGAGCTCTGACTGGATGTCTTGAAATTGTACACCTTGATGGCCTCCTCATCATCATCCGAACTGGACACAGACTTGGATGCGGCCTTTCTCTGTGCTGTCACCAGTTCCAGTTCCAGTTCCGTTTCCGTTTCGTGTTCGGGTTCGGGTTCCGGTGAGGGTGTGCTGGAGGGCAGAGGCTCACCAATGCCAGAATCGGCCTGCTTGGAGGCGGCATCATTGTTATCCTCCTCCTCGCCGTTGACGCTGCTCAGCGAGCGCGGCTCTGGTGTCGGTGTGCGATTCAACAGCACCTTGGACACATTCTGGTTGCCATTCAGCAGCTGGGGCGCTGCACTTGCCGGCAGCGGCGGTGGTGCCTCCATGGATGTGGTTGTGGTTATGGTTGTGGCAGTGGCTGCTGCTGTTGTTGTATTTGTTGTTGTTGCGGATGTGGATGTGGATGTGGGTGCGGGTATTGGTGTGGTTATTCTGGGCGCCGGCTGCGGTGACGACAACACATCCGTTATGGAGGCCGTTGTTGAGGCCAGCGATATGGTATCAGCAGCTGCTGCAGCTCCTGCTCCACCCATGACCAATCCATCGGGTGGCGGGGCTGGGGCTGTCTTCTTCTTAAGCTGCACTAGACGCTTGCGCGGCGTCGGCTCCGGTAGTGATTTGAGGTCCAGTGTCGCATAGTGTCCACCATCGGTGGCATCCGGTGTCTTGGCACTATTGCCATTACAGTCCAGCTGATGCAACGACTCCGATTCCATTTCCATATCCGTTTCCATTTCCATTTCCAGCTCCGGTGTGCTGGCCAAATTTGGCGTCGACATGCACATCTGGGGACGTTTCACAATCACCGCATATGCGGGCTCCGCATTCTGTGTCTGTGTCTGTGTCTGTCTCTGTGCCTGGGTCTGCGTCTGTGTGGCTGGATACTGGGCCACCGATTGTTCGGGGATGACCAGCTGGTTGGGTGGACGCGGAGCGACACGCTTCTTGCGGGGCGGCGGGGCCACAGCAAGCGCTTTCGGCGGCACCACCGGTGTCCGCGTGTAGTTCATGCCCGTCGAATCCATCGAGTTGAGCGAGTTGCTCGAACTGTACGGACTGGGCGTCTTGGCCGTTAGCTTCGATTGCGAGTGCCGGCTGCTGCTGAAGTCCGAGCTGCTGCTCAGCGAGTCCCGTGCGGCGACCGTGCGCTGAAACTTGAGCATTGCGTCGGCATTGAAGCTATCATATGACTCGGACTTGTGGCACAATCGTATCTCCGACAGACCCACGGCTCCAATTGTCGACTCGCAGCTGTACACCTGACTAGCATCCACTGTGACAGAGGGATTAAAGACAAGGAAACGCAAATTAGATAAGGAATAAATCGATTCGACAGTTGACAGTTTCTTTCTAGAGTCTCTCCAAACTACTCCAAATTGCTGCTAGAATTGTATTCAAAATAGATATTCTGGACAGTGTTGGGGATATGAAAAGGTTTTTATTACCCGGATTGCGGAACTCGTATTTATCGGCATCCAATTGTTTGTTGTCACAGACCAGGGACAGCAGTTTGCTGAGTGGCACACGGGCGCCCAGTCGTGTCACATACAGCTGATCCTTGGGCAGGAGCACAGTGATGCGAAACGTCTGCTCGAACGGTGCATTGCTGGTTGCCGCCGGCAGCGGCGTAATCCGATTGTAATCCAGCTGACTAGCCTCATTGATGTGCATGCCCTGATCTGTGGACAAATGGTGCAGTTGTGTCGTCGATTTCGATAGCTTTCCATTCGATGCGACCCCAGATTTGTCTAAGCCACAAAGAGAGAGAAAGAGAGAGAGAGAGATGTACAGGTTTATCGATAAGTTTTTTTGTGGGGTGAGCTTGAGATTGAGTTTAACTTACCTTTTTTGCGGCCAAACCAGCGATTTAGTGTGGAGAAGCCGCCCTTCATGCTGCTCATTTTTGGGGCGTCACTTGCTTGCTGGCTCTCACTCACACTCACACTCACACTAGCTCCTTCTCGCTCTTTTAATCTCTTTAATTAGCGGTATCTTCGTCCTTCAATTTTTCGATTATTTTCGATTTCCGTTTCCGTTTCCGTTTCTGTTTTTAGCTTGTTGCTTGACTTCCTTGCTGCAGTTACTGATCGTATTTGCTTATCGTTACTTGTTGTATTGTAGTCGTATAGTTGTTGTTGTAGTTCCTTGTTCCGTACGCCCCTCTCTAGAATGTTTCGTAATATTTCTGAAGCATACTACAAAATGGCGTGCGATTTGTGCGTTGCAAAATCTGCAAGTGAAAATCATTCGAATGCTGATTACGATTACTCCAAATATGTACAATGCGAACAAAACGAAAAGACGTCAACGTTCTTATCAACCCAGAGAGAGAGAGAGAGAGGGGGAGAGAGAGAGAGAGAGAGAGAGGGAGATTACAAAAGAACTGATAAAATTCCATATTCACCATCTATGTGTAAATGGATGAGCTGAGCGGGCAGAGTGGTCGCAGAGGAGCTGTTGCCCAAGCCCTCCCCCCCATACGCATTCCTTGTGTAATGAATGGCCTTCTTATCGGAGCACCGACAACGACAACGACGACGACGATGACGACGACGACGCCACCGACGGCAATGAGAACAGAACGAACCACAAGTGAATACACTCGAAACACTCACAGACACTCTAGGTAAGGTCTGATAGCTATCGGATGTGGCTTTGCCAGCTTTAATAAAACTGAGCAAAACTGAATACTGGGTAAATAAACTTAAGCACCAAAGAACTCAAAACCTTAAGCGATACAATACAAATACAGTTAAGAACATAAAGGTCGCAATTTTTGAACCGATCGCACCTATCAAATAGTAATCCGAGCATGATAAATATTTGCCAGCCAAGTTTGGATGCATAGAAAATCGATTAATTAACATATTTCGAGTAGATAACTTCAAAAACTAAACAAGTGTCCTAATTAAGATCGATGTAGAAGTTCAATGTTCATTGATTTATTCATAGATATTTGTTATGTATTTTCTAATCGAAATTTGAGCGGCTCTCGAACAATTCGAAGCTTGTAAATGTTTATCGAAGTGGCAGCTAAAAAAAGAAATTATCGAAACAGGAATCTTTTAAATACCTCTTTTATGAGTTGCTATATATATGTATATATATATATCTGTGGTAAAAGATGATTGTTTGTGTTTGAGATAATAGCAGTAGCAGTTAAGTTAAACATATTTACAGCATGCAAAATTGCATCCGATCATAAAGCAATCTTTATTATAGTCACACATTGGCAGGTCTTTGTCATGAAACTATTTGTAATATGTTTAGTATGAATCAGCAAATGCTATACGCATATATTTGTGCGCAGACTGCGAATTTTTGTATCTTTAGTTTAGTTATTGTATTCGTTAAGCTTTCGGAGCTGATGATTCAGTTCCTTTTAGATTAGATAAAGTATTTGTTTTCTTGTTTTGTGAATATGTACACATTTTTGGATACTATATGCATGCATATATGTATATATATATATATATGACTAATACTTTATCCCAGCCAATATCGGAGTCGTGTCACGAGTTGCTTTTGCCATCTCCACTATCAATTAACCCGTTAAATTTGTTGCTATTTGCGTTAAGCTTAACGCCAATTGTTGTCTATATTAATGAGCAAACAAACACCAATGCAGACAGACACAATACACACAGATAAACACACACACACACACACATACACAGAGATTGGCCCGGATATTTTGGTTGGTGGATAAAGACGCGAGTCGCGCGCGTTTTTTTTGTCGCGTGCGTTCAATTTGCAAACAATGCGGCCGCGAAGGAGGGCGGCGGTTGGTCAGAGGAGGGCCTTTGGATTGTGTGCAATGGCATAGTTCAAACTTCAGTTGCGTTGCGTCAGTGTGTAACCAGCAGCAATTGCATGCGGCAAGCAGATGCCACACAACTCATTGGCCATGCAAATTACGCTCAATTGCAGCACAAATCACACAAAAATAACAAAACCCAGTTGCACATTAAACAATGCCTGACTCGATACCGAGTTATCGTCTATGTACATCAGAGAGGGGTGCATATCGATAAATATCGATTAACGATTATCGTGTATTAGGTGGTGAATAGGTTTGTTTAGCTAAATATTCAAAATATTATGCTAAACTCAATCAATTTGCGTGTATAATTTTATAATGATAAATTCCATTTCTCTAGACTGATCGATAATAATATTTACATGGAATCGTGGCTTTTGAGTAAAACAATTGTGAATTTACATCTTGGATTTGATAATGATAATGATGTGACTGATATACTGACACAGCATACAAATAATTTTGGAAATGAGAAACAAATATCAATTTTAATGTAGATGGGAAAAAACGTTGTTCTCTTTTTTCTGATCAATAATTGGATACGTTTTACATTTGACTTGTTTGCAAACTTATGCCATATTTAACTTTCTTCAGTTCTGATTACAGAAATATAGCGCCCAACTGCCTGCCGGATGATAATAGCCGCCGTTCTGCTTGGTATTGCAGGGTATTTAATAATTGCAGGACATATGCGACTATTCGCATTTGCATCCATACATCCAACTAGTGCAATTGAGGCACGTGTTCGACTTACTGTTGCAATGTCGCCCAGCCACGTAGTGGCAATGCAACCCCCCCCCCCCCCCCCCTCTCCCACTCCACACATACTTTGTAGCGTCTGTAAATCGATTTGGCGATTTGGTGGCGCACTAATTAGCCTAACTTTTAGAATGGCTAATTTAGATTTACACAATATTTGGCTGCATTTTTGTTTTGTTTCCAATTTGTGTTGTTATTGGTCATTTTAACGATTTGAGTTTTAGGAATCGAGCAACGTGCAACTCGCAACTCGCAACTCGTGCCAAACAAATCGCATAGCATTTTTATTATTATTTTGGTTATCAATTTTTGTTGTTAACTCTTTTGACTATTAAAGCACATAACTCACTGTGTGTGTCTGTGTGTGTGTGTGTGTGTGTCTTGGGGTTTTTTTTTGTTGTTAAATTTAAAGCTTTTATAGTCAGTTAGTTAGAAATAAAAATGAGTAAGAATAAAAATTCCTCGGCTATCAAAGCAGCGACAAGGCGCCATCGAAACAATTCTTGAAAAATCATCACGTTCCATAAAAATGTCATTGTTATGATTCTTGCAGTTAACAACAAACCTTTAAACAGCTGATCAGTGTGTGTGAGCTGAGGGTGGCAGGTGGCAGGTGGCAGGTGGCAGAAACTAAAAAACTTCAAGTCTTTTTCTGTCGATTTAAAGAACTATCCGAACTATCTACTTATCGTATCACTGACACTGACAGTGCCATGTGTCGCACGTATGCGATATCTTTATAACGTCAAACTAACGACTAAAAAAGTTGCCAGAACTCATATATATATATATATATATATTCAGTTTGCAATTATATGTGAGCGGGCTAAATGGTTGAGTGATTAAGGTAATCGAAAGCAATTAAAATGTTTCTTCCACCATTAACTCGGAACAGCATTGGCTATGGATGTACACTTATGTACTATGTAAATTCTTATCTGTATAAATACAATAACTTTATGGTAATGATTATTGAGCAAAGTCTACAGAATCATTTAACAAAGTTTTATGCGCTTGTTATGATTATTGCTGATGGCATTTCAAGAATATTTATGATGAGCGCTGTTTGCAAAACGTTTGCGAATATTGTTCAAAGAATAACCGAAACGTGTTTTGCGCTTAACACAGTAAAATATCAAAGAGAGAGACAGATAGAGAGAGATAGAGAGAGGGAGAGATAATCGATCGAGTAATATTTCCCATTGATATTTGTTTTTCATTTTCAAATTAGTTGTATGCTGTCAGAATGTGTATAATGATGCTGATGTCACATCAAATTCTAAATTCTAAATTCAACTTCAAATTCAAATCCCAACAACCTGTAACATTTATAAATGTATAGTTAAGAGCTGTATAAGTTAACAACATTCCAGTCACGTAATTCATTAGATATTCTTTGGCCGTTTAAAAATAGTTGACTAAATCTCTAAATAGGCACTATTAAATAAACACAACAATTTAAGGAGCTGCTGATGACGAGCAATTTATTTAATTGAATGACCTTTCAGTTTAGTTTTATGGCTCATTTGGGGGCATTTCATTCGTATGTGAGGCATTATAAATATCCCTGTTTGTTTGTAGGTATTTATGTATATATATAATATATGTAGCCTTATTGACGCAACCGATTACCGTTAGGACTGGCCACAAAATTGGTAACTTTCTACCGTTATGCACACGCAGTGCGATATAATTGTATGTATGCTTTTTAAATTATAGTACCAGCTCAGTACCATTTTTGGGGCCACCTTGCGCTAATAAGCCGAATCAGAAGTGCAAACATTCCAAAAATACAGCAAAAAAAAAAAAACAGAAAAAAAACACCAACAACAACACCAAAAACGAGGTAAACCACAACGAAATTTCCCTAGAAAAAATGTAAAAAACAAAATAAAAAAAAAACAACAAACAACAACAACTCAGTGATTGATGATTAATCGGAGCTTAGGAATTACTGATTATATTTACTTGTACACATGTCGATGTGCATGTATAAATAAATATAAGCCTGAGAGTCACATTGTGGTTTGTGTTGGCATTTTTACGTTGTTTGGAGTGAAACACAGGCTTATATTTAGCTGTGTGTAAATGTTATTTGATTGTTTTCAGATACATTCATTTGTATGTAGATATTGTGCAATAAATCCAACGACATTGCCATTGGCATTGGCACTGCAGCTACGGCTAAAACGGAAACGGCGAGGGAGACGCAGACGCAGACGCAGACGCAGACGAGTGACGACGAGTCAAGAAGCTGGGATTTCAGACTCATCCAAACTTAGGCGATGATATCACAATTGGTGGCGACGTGCCGGAATTTTTATTGATGCTCATCACTGCGTTTCATTATGCAGTCTCCCCCAGCGCCAGCGAGTCGCGAGTCAGCAGCAACAACTATGCAAATTCTGGCCAACTACTAAATACTATAGGGGCAAAAAGAATAACAACAAAAAAAAAAAGAAGAAACTCAAGCACCTGTGGAAAAGTTTACACAGTGACATTATCTACACTGACTAAAAAATAAACAGGCAAGTAGAAATTGGAAATTGGAATAGAAAAATAGAAAGAAAAAATGAAGCGCCGAGTTATCAGCCGGTTTCGTGACTAATACCAGAACCGATGCTAAATAACATTCAGCAGGCCTTTATCAG